AGCATTTTAATAACAACTAAAGGTGACATAGATACTTTATTATGATATAGTATTTAAAAGGGGCAGGACATTATAAGATGTATCTTCTACCTGCTCCTTTTCGAACAGAAAATATWAAATTTTGCATGTCACACGGGCAAAATAATTTGTATTACATTTTATTTCTTAAGTTTGTTTCATTCTATTTTCTTTTCTTTTTGATTGTTTTATGTCTGTTTGCAATAAAATAAAAAAAATGTATGCCTGAGAAAAACATAATACAGTATTGCCCCTTTAACATTTGCAAATAAAAAACAGCGAAATGCAGCTTTTCTATAAATAAAACCCAACAAACTTTAGCCTTTTTTAAACATAAACAGATAAACACTGGTATACATTCAACTGAAACTCACCTTATGTTCATGTACAACATTTTGTGAGCCAAGTCCTGCAGACAGGAAACTATAGTTGTTTTAAAACCATCGTAAAAAGATCAAAAATTCTAAATCTCTAAATATACACACGGTTCTGAACGTGGGCTCTGGCCTGCATCATGCTGTTGGAGAAAAGCAGAGGTTCCATGATGCTGGGAGCTGATTGGCTGAGCGGGCCGGACTCTGTCACGGACGACACACCGTGGGACGGCGGAGAAGCGCAAACTACACTTCTTGTCCTCTGTCTTGTAGAAACACATCACAAAGATCCATTTGTTTGTTTATTGTTTATTGACAGCAACACTTTTGTGAACAACTAATTATTTTTCACTTTTAATGGTAAAGTCCTCTGAGCTGGGATTGTTGGCAACATCAATTATAACAAAACTACTTACTAACTATTAGTCRTGTAAACAGTGACTCTGAGTTTATGTACCTTTGTCTGGGGGGCACAGGCTGACAGAGGGTCCTGGTATTCAATAAACCACTTGACAGAACTGGATCCACTTGACCCCAGTGTCTGTTATTGCTGCTCAAACTGGGGAGACACAAACCTTTGCTGAGGAGGCAAGAAGAATAACAACAATATGGTTGCCACAAAGAAAATTTCTTTCTTTCTTTATTTCTTTTTTGTTCTGAGTTCTTAATAGTTTCTAATATTAGCTTTAAATATATTTATCTTTTAGTAATTGTACCAAACTTGGTAAAGATTCCCTCCCTGGCATCTTTCTGAAAGCTGGTTTGGTGAAATTAGAGAGCAGCTTTATTCTCCTCCCTGAGCTTGGACTTGATTCAGTCGCTCATATCAGACAATGGGCTGATTCACCGAGTTCTCTCCCACTGTATCTGTGCTCAGAACCTGTTTGGGTAGAACAGATTGTCCTCTGGACACAGTAACAGGTGCTTGCACACAGGTCTGTGAGTGTAACCAGAGACGACTCTATTTTGCTGTTGGTGTAAAAACCCAGAGGCATATGTTAAGCAGCCCGGCAGGAAGTGAGCGGACTTTATAAGAGATTGTGTGCTCTCTCTGAAAATGTTTGTGTGAAAACCTCTGTGGTTTAATGTAAACATGTATTAAATATGTGTTTATAGGTGTCAGTCGATACAATTTTCTAGCTAAAACACATGAATAAATGTGAAAATGTAAGAATAATGGAATTTCTTTATGCTCACCTGCTTCCGTTTTTGACATCCTGATTGACTTGTCCAGTGTCTTTCAGTGTTTTCATGTCGCTTTGAAAACTGGTTTGGATCGGCTTATCTGCAGGAGAAATTCATCACAATCCACAGTTATATATCAGTTATTTCTCTTCTAAAAACTATGTATGTATTTAGAAGTAAAATATTATTCTGTATGTTCCCGGTGGAAAAATGATGTCAGCAAAGAAGCAAAAAAAAAAAAAAAAAATTAAGTTGTACAACCATTTTCATTTCAGAGGAAACACATAAGACACCTTTAAACCATGATAGCAACATGACAACGAAACTTTCTGGTCACTCAAACTCCTCTTTACTAAGCTCACATTTTTATATTTTAATATGATAAAAACAGCAAAGCTTATTACAGAAGAATAAACCGGTGTTACCTGTTTCTATTCTTGTTGCTCCACTCTGCTCACATGTTGAGATGTTTATAAGAAAACTCTTTATTTGCCCTAAAAGTCTCACTTCGATCCTGTTTTTGGTTTTTCAGAACTTTGTGTTCCTGAGGTTGTGGCTGAGGTAAAAGATGCTCAAGCTGGTCTCTCACGTTTTGTGTGGAGGACCCCTCCCATACAGTCAACCCCCCCTCGCCTCTACCCTCTCTCACGCACACACCCCTCAGCTGCAGGTGATTTGATCTCTCGGCCTGTTTTGGACACTGATCAGGAGGTCTACTATCAGAGCGAAAAGTCTGACTGCAACTTTTTTACTAAATAAAGCCCAGCTTGTATAATTAATGTTTGCAGTGATTTGCAAACTATTTAGTTGTAGAGATGCAAAATCAGGGGTGTTATTAGTTGGGATATTTTACCTGATTTTTTGTTAATTGTTGGAAATAAAGCACAAACGTTTTAAATTTCCTAAAATGCATTACTGGACTATAATCTGTGTTTTCTTATTAAACCAAAAAATTTTTTTTACTTATTATAGACCAAATTTATAAAATAAGATTTACATATTTTATATAAATACTAGGTTTGCACAATACATATGTCTGCACTGAGACGTTCAATATACACTATGTATTGAATAATACAGATTTTTAAAATTGATTTTATCAGCTTGTCTCCTGAACATGCTCTGTATTGAAGGATCAGTGGATCTGAGTTTGACTACTACACCTAAGCTGCATCGTTGAGAAACTTGCTGTTTCAGCAACATTTAATTCAAAAACTGTACTTTTGAGGTTAAACAAATGTTCATGATTAAGTTAGGAAAGGCATGGACATTTCTTTTTTTTTTTTTTAAATCGAAAAATATTGAACTGTGAGACCAAATTATCAAACAGAATCGTGAATTTTCTGTTTCATTGCACCCCTCATAAACACAAATATGTTTGAACTGTGTTTGTATAAGCTGACAACATATTGAACAGATCAACATTACCTTTGCTGAAAACAGTCTGAGGAGGAATTTCAGAAGACTGAAGAGCAWCCTAAACAAGAAACATTCACTTGTCAGTTTCAATGCAGTTAATACTTTTTAAAGCTCCACAAAAATAAATAAACAAATAAATAAAAAAACTAAAAGGATTTACAGCAGTAGAACATTTTGTCCTGTTGTTCTGATTGTTTTACCTCTGTGTGGCTGCACAGCAGGTCACGTTGTGTAACTGGTGTTCGCTGATCGTCGTCCCGCTCTGTGTCTAAATCTAATTGTGAATCCAAATCTTGAAACAAATCAAATGTGGGGTCTGCATCTGTGCAGAAATAAAAACAGTAAAGCCAGCAGCAGGTTTTATTTATTTTTTTTTTTCTGTCAGTTTTCTCTGTGCACCTGTCTACGACGGAGTATTAGGGCCACACAAGACTTTTTTTCATTATGTTCTAGCCTTTACAAGAAAAAGCCTGCAGTCATCACTGCATTAAAATGAGGAATGTTGAGCAACTTGTCAAGTTGTTCTTTAGTATTGCTTAAAATAAATAGTTAGCCCAGAGGAACGGAAAACAGACACCTCATGCAAGATTGATATTTTTTTCATAATATTACGACTTTATTCTCATGATTTTGCGACTTTATTCTCATGATATTGCAACTTTATTCTCATAATGACTTTATTCTCATAATATTATGACTTTATTCTCATAATATTATGAATTTATTCTCATAATATTATGA